TTTTAACAGTATTGTTGAAGCAGATTTGTTTATAGTAAGGATAGCAGCAGATCTTACTTACAAAGGGTGAAACAAGAACAGATCATTACAGGACACGACAGACTGTTAACAGAACAATGTATCTCCATTAACAGACCTCTGTAATTAAAGTTAAAAATGTTATAATGAAATTGTTGTAGCTGTCACCTTAAGCACAACAAAATGAAAAATGTGTGTTTCATGGCCATCACAAACTTAGTCTTCCAATGCAGAGGGTAAAAAGATTCTGAACGTCTCCAGAGGAAAACCAGATATACTGTAGCACACACTGTATTGCTGAATTCAAAGATTAGAATGCCCTATATCTGTATCATCAACCCTGACAACACCAACACCCTATAGACTAAGGCTCCACTCTTTGATAATCTGCAAAATACTCCTAGTGGAATGAGAAGCATGTGAGATATTTACTTCACAACTCATATGGAAATCCATGTCAAACAAGCTCAGAGCCCAGTTCTATAGAAGGCGTTGATGCCTCATATGCCTAAAAACTAAATCCCAGATCTCTTTGTGTTTAGTAATGTGCAATTGGGAAGTTTCATTGCCTCAAGGCGTTTAGAGAAGGAATCAAATCCAAGTAAAAGAGACTAAGAGGTTTTAGGTGTTTTGTCCTGCAGTCATTGAACCATGGAGTAGTAAATGCTTTAATTGCCTTCCATATCATACATAATTGCAGTATCGGATGGTAAAATAAATAAACAGTGACAGAAGATGCAACAAGTTCAGTTTAATATTTAATTATTTAATATGGGAAAATAAAAACAAAAGATCCTTATAAAACTGCATCACAGCTTCTACATTAACTGAAATTTACTTTTAAAGGAGCAATCATTTTTTTGTGATTTCTTGAATTACTGTATTTTGCAAGTATACAATAAGGGGTTTTAATCAGATGGAGATCTATTACCACTTATTATTACCATTGTGGGTTAACACAACTTGACAGTTCTGTTAAGTACCTTTCATAACCAAGCAAAAAAAGAAGCTAATTATTTTCATGTAAATTACTGATTTCAACTAAATTGGTAAATACTGAGATTTTTTAACAAAACAACCGGCAATGAAATTGCTTTAATACAAACTCATTTTGTATGGATTTCTTGATGAATATGAATCATCTGTACTTTTCCAAATGTGGTGACATACCTGTATAATATTAAAATTCACAGATCACTTTACATATACTGATTAACTACAGTGGAGTACAAGAAACAGCCATGATCAAAACCCCTATGGAATATACACATACCATATGTGCAGCATGTGCTGGAGAATACATGTATTTTGTCATGAAAGAAGATACTGTATATTCACAGGTTTTACAGAAACATCACTTTTTAGATCAAGTATTTTACACAGAGTAGAATCTATTAAGTTCTAACAAATGTGCGCTTAACTTCTGCATTTAATCTTTGAACACGTCACAGTGCTGTGCTCTGTTGCTGGCAAAGAAGAGGCAGGACAGGTGGCTTTTAGGATCCCCTGCAGGATTGCTAGAAAAGTCTTCCATTAGCACAGGAAGTCTTGCAGAAGTAGCACAAGGGCACTGTCCTAATAACCTTCCACCTATTTGGTACTGTTGTTCTGTAGTATTTGGCAGCTGTTTTGGAAATGGGGAAACATTGCGAGGATGTTCAGGTTGTTTTTGGCAGACCAAGAAGATGGCAAATTCTACTCATATCCGTGACATGAACAAAGGTCAACTTCAGGAACGTGTGGAATGACTTGCATCTCCTGTGTGAAACAGGCTTCAGCTTCTCATTCTGGCATGGGTTCCAAAACGTGTTTTAAAGGGGATGTAAGATTGAAACAATAATGTGCACGTCTGTGGATCAGAAGCTAGAAAAGTGGAAACTCATCTCACATCTATTACAATAGGGATCAATGAACATTCTTGCTGTTATTAGATGCCATGGGAATTTTATTAGAAATTGCTGCCAAATTGCATTGTCACCATATGTCTAGAAGCAGAGCAAAGCACTGTTTTACATACACAACAGTAACACTGATTAAAAACAATAAAGCACACATCTATGTACATGTTAATTAAAAAAAAATAAATACATAGATACAATTGCACCTACAGATCACTCACTCCAAAATTGAAATTACTGGCACCGTGTTACATGCCCATCTAAAGACATCATACAACTTACAGTATACACAAAGGACTGTCATCTTTCTTGTATCTCATTAGAAGATAAGGATTTCATTTTAAAGGGGTTGAGAAGATGAGAACACCCCAAGCTGTTTAAAAGCTGTCTCTTCTAATCCCACGGAACATAGAAGGAATATTCTGTGTCCTTAGATCAGGCCAGTCCAAATCCAATCCACAAATAATTAACACCTACAAGTTATACACATACCTTTCAGGAGCTCTCCTTCAGACCTAGAAATAGCTTGTATTTATCCTATTAACCAAATATTTAGGACAGTTAGGCAAATGAAGTGAAAAGAAAAATGCTTTAGAGATGGACTAGGACAACCCTTCCCCATTTAGTTGCTCACTTTTCAGTGCCCTGAGTAATAGACTAATAACACTCTGCTATTTCTGTCACACAGAAATGCAGCACCTACTGTAATAATGTGTTATTTGTCCTTTGTAGCCAATGCAGATTTCTGTTTCCTTTTTAGTCCTTGATTCTTCTTTATTTCTCTCTTTATTAACTCTGTAGTCTGACCAAATGGGGCTAAATTACTGTACAATTAATTTAATTTTAATTGCAATCTTTTACCTTTGCCTTTTTCTTGAAGGCATGATATATCCATAAGATAGAAGAAATAAGGAGACTAAAGCAGAGATTTTTATTAGCCTTTGTTTTATTTAAAACCTTGTACTGTATGTAGCATTATTGTCATTTAATAAGCATTTTAATCTTACTTTAATGTTTGCTCATATTCTGTGTTCTGGTACCTATAAATCCAATCAAGAAGGACAGCTAAAATTTAATAAAGTCCTTATCAATTTACACTTTAAACTCTTCTGTTTCTCAACATCAACTGCTGTGAGAGAAGTTCCAAATAAACTTTATTTTATGTTTTGTGGAAATGGCTCTGTGTACTGTATATATTGCAAGGTTTTTCTTTGGTTCTTTCTATAAATCACCTTCGTCTTCCTCCTCACTTCAAAAATACTTATCACAGTTCGGAAGCAAACCTTGGATAGAAGTAATTCAGAGCACATCACTAAAGAATGATGGCTAATTAAGCAACAGTCTTGGAACAGTGGCACTTCTTTTGAGCCAAACAGAAAGTATCCAGCTAACTAGAAATGCAATTATACTGCATATTTTAAAGCAATAGAAATATATTGTTCTGTAAAATATGGACTATAACACTGTAGTATCCCATTGTCTTTCAAGCTGGAGGGCACTGGATATGGAATTGTTTGTAAAAGGAGAAAAGAATGACCAGCTAAGCTTATGTTCGCCTTTAATGCTTATATGGCATATGGCTTTCTTTACAATATCACAGTACCTCATGACACTGCAGCAGTTTGATAAGTCACTTGTTATAGAAGTTAATGACAATAGTCTAAGCAGCTCAGAAGACAAACCTTTTATTTTCCATGATTTTTAAAATGACTATGCTTAAAGGAAAGAATGAAAAACATAAATGAAAACTGGGGTGTAGAATATTATTAATGTCAAACACTTTGTCCACTATAGGGCTTATGCTATGCCTACAATGCTGATTTTACAGTCATTGAAATAACACAAAATACTGAGTTTAGTTGAATAGGAGTTTGGTATTAATTTACAAAAAATATATAGGAACAAAAATTCATATCTGCTGAAAGTGTAATCTAATTTATCTATACAATAAATCACAAAAGCTAGTTGATATAATTCACTACAACTAGTACAGTGTAGCATACTGTTAAATGGGTCCAAGAGGGACATTGCGAATACAGCTATCGTTTCTGAGGATTTGCTGGTCTACAGAGATCTGCATGGAGTACTGGCACACAGAGAGACATGATGGACCGCTGAATATTCCACAAGTACTTTTTTCTGAATTGTATAATGTTAGCATGCCCAGAGGGGTTGGGCAGCCAGTTGACCTTGGACCCCTAGAGGGTTTTTTCCTCCTTACTGAGGAGTTTTTGGTTCCTCTCCTCCGTTGTCTTCTGGCTTTTTCTCTTTCTGTATTGTAACGTCATGTAGTGTCACACAGCTCTGTTAAGTGCCTTGGGGCAACCTTGTTGTGAAAGGCGCTATATACAAATACATTGAATTGAAATCCAAATACTGTTTTTTTTCCAAATATATTACTCCAGGGAATTTCACTGAGTGACACTAACCCCAAACAGTTTTCTTGTAATTGCATTTTTTGTAAAAGAGTATTTTCATGTGGACAATTGAAAAGTTAATAAATACATAATAGTGCTTTGTTATATTAAAGCCTCTCTCATAAGTTCTAATTTTTATTACTTTTTAAAGGAAAAATATGGGTTTAATATTTTAGCAAGTTTTCATATCTAGTGTAGTTTTAGGCATTTTTATTTACTTTTAGGTAAAGATTCAGTATTAAGTATTTGGGCTTTGCATGTCTGGATTCAGTCTTAGCTCATGTTACAAATTACAAACAATTTTATTATTGCATACATTTTAAATTCTATGAACAGATACATCAGAGATTATATGTCATTAAACTGACCTACTTTGAACACTGTAATCAAAGGTCTCTTGAATGTTGTAATGAGGTACACTGGTAGATTAGTGCAATAAAGGAATGCTTCTAATGCGTCTATGAAGAAAGCCAACAAAAAATCGCTTTCAGCAACTCCAAGAGTAGCTATCAGTCAAGACATTCAGTTCATACTTGGGTGTTTACCATATGAAGACCCTGCTGTTACAGTTCTCTTTAATTCTCTTCATGAGCTCGACTGCATATATTTTATGATGATGAACTTGTGTACTTGCGATAGCTAAAATAAGAATTCTGCAAACTGCCAATTCACCTTAGGAGAGCATTATTTTATTAGTGCAAAACACATTCACTCTACTGCATTAAGTTGTCCACTTGTCATTATAGAGGGTAATGAAAGAAGAGAAATGGCTAATGCATATTATTAACATATTATTAAGATTAGATCCTCTCCTTAGCATAATATATATTTACAAACCAAAGTATGATACTTTTAGAAGAAAATGGTCCATCCTAATTAAGCAGACTTTGTTCCAACTTGTTATACATATAATTAGGTTTTAATGCTATTTTCTTAGTATCACAGTGATGCTTTTGTTTGTCACTGATGTTTACATTAGCAAATACACAAACAATTTAAAAAATGCTAATGATTTTTGTCACTTATAGTTGCACACTGAGCGCTTATCTAGCCCAACACTGCTGATTTAATTTATATTTCAAAGAGCTACTGTTTAGAATTACAACTGCCTGTGGTTTCTTCATTGTCCACACGAGGGCAGAATTTGAGTTTGCTAAACCACATGGTGCCCTGAACTGTTTCATCCCATGTCCTGCTAAAACCAAAGGTAAGGTTCATGATTCTCTTGATTCTGAAAGGCATATTTCAGAGTCTGGGAGTCTTAAGTAGCTGCTTAAAACAAATGCAATAACCTTGACATTATTTTCACATCTACATTGACATTTAGTTCACTGTTATTTACAAAACCCCAAAACATCAAACACTATTAATTTCTTATAAGTTTAACATGAGACTGTTATGTTCAGCATAATGATACCTAAAGATTTCTGCATGACATTACCAAAGTGAATACAAGTCTATTCCATATATTAACAATTTTTAGCACTCTATTCAGCAAAAGTTTTCCAAGCACTTTGATCGACACCTCTGCCCACCTACAGTACAGTTACGTGACTAGAAATAAGGCTTTCTGAGAAACTCCCCCATATGAGCTGATTATATTCATTAGTATTTTGTAGGAATTTAATCAAAACTTTATATAATAGTGCTTCTAATTTAATTGGATGACTCCTTGTTGTTGTATATAATATAAAATAGTAGAATACTTAAAAATACTGTATTCTGCTTTTCCTTAGTCTTGAGATTCTAAACATAAAAAGCATAGAATTTCCTAAATTTAGGAACCTTCTACAGCTCTGAAAAAAAATGCTGACAGTGGAAACAATACTGAACAAAAAATCAAGAAAGTGACAATGACAAGGACATCACCATGACCTAAAACCAAATAGAGGGAAAAAAACATTGTGGATTAAAGAGGCATACAGGTCATTGACAGGCAATAGCGGGTAAACCATTTCTAAAACAATAAGTGTCACTTAATAATAAACGCCGTGACTATAAAAAATGAGAATCAATGTAGAATTTTGCGAAGCTCTGTCTGTGATCAGGGCATAGGTTGGACACACCCTGCTTTCTGCAAGGGCTCAGCAAACCCTTGTTAAACATGACACTGCAGTTAAAATGCATTACAAAAAAGTGTGAACCTGACAGGTTTGTGACATCACCATTGATTAAGGTTACACAACACTACAGGTACATCAACATTTAAAATTGTATCTTTCACAGAAAAAAAGGGCTTTTCTTCTTTACCAAGCTCAAAATGGGTGAAAAATAGAGTGGGTAATTATCAAACCTAGGCGGAATAGATACTATAAAAGCACTATAGATAGTGCTATTCATAATACAAACACAAACACTGGCTTTATGGTAAAAAAAATCCCTCATCCAAGACTGGAATAAACTTGTATTCATTTAATATCATATAATATTCTTTCCTGTAATATGATATTTCCATCACTGCTACATGATTAGAAAAAGAAATTGTGTTTTTCATGTTTTGTTGCTTGTTTCAAACACCTTACACAATAACACTCAAGTACAGCGGCACATGTTTGCAATCACTCGTGCACATCACAATCTGCAGAGGATTTGGTTATAAAGGTAACAAAAAAGTAACAAACTTTAAAAAAAAGGAAAAAAAATTAAACACAATAATCATTATGACAAACCACGAGCCGGAAGAGTGACCCAATAACAAAACTTTCCAAAAACCTGGTAACAATGGATTTACATAGGAGATACTTTGAAACTGGCAGACAAAAAATATTTTTGTTACATCAGAAGTGCCATGGTTTCTGTCATTCATATGAACATTAAGTATTGTGCTGCTGGTCAGGCTTTAATGGGCATACTATAAAAAAGCAGATGAATTAAATATCGTGTACCGTATGCAGAAAACGGCACAGTTAGGAGTCAGTTTCTATGCAGGGGACGAGTAAAACTTTCTTTTTAAAGATCTAATACAGCAGACAAACCCCTTTGAACATAATGTTGTGACATTCCAAACCATAAAAAACAGAACATTTTACACCTAACCCAATTTCTCTCCCTGTAGGGATTTCACCAAATAAAGAAAAAAAAATGTTTCAGTTGAAGCACATGTATGTGGACTGTCATTGATATGGGTAATACGTAATTATCTCGAAGTGAAAAGGTGATTTCCATAAAAATAGTGATGGCCACTGCTGCTGAATAATGGAGAACGCAAGCCCAACAAGCAGCTCTCAAGGCAGAGCAAAGGAAGATATGAGGTGTTATTGGTATGCAGCAAGGAAAAAAAAGCACTGTGCTGAGTATCACAATAGGAACATAGCACTGGGATAGTAACTTCATTAAAAAGATTGTGCTTCAAAAAGCACTCTTCCCAGCTACTGCCACTTAGAAGTCTGGTAGCTGAAAAGGAAAACAAAACAAAGCCAACTGCCTAACAGGTATATAAGCTTGCCTGTTTTAGCCAGGTTCTTGGAAGGGTTTGGACACCAAAGCCAACTCGTGGTTTGCATGTTCACCCATGCTGTACCTGTTTGCTTCTCATCACTAGAGTCTACATCTGGTTGTCATAGGCGTAGCTTGGTGTGGCCGAGTACTGTGGCTCTTGTTGGTGAACTGCTGCCTGTGCAGCGCCCATGGCTGCATTTTGAGCTGCCTGCTGCACGTGGGGGTTTTTCCAGGCTCCAGAGGTCCACTCCTCCTGGGCCTTGCTCAGGCTACCTCCACTGCCACGGTAGAAATTGTGCACCTGTGAAGACATCCCCCAGAGAGACATCTAGTTCAGAAGGTGGAGCAGATGTAAGACAAGGCCACAAAAACTCAAAGATTACAGGCAAAGGAGACTAACAGTTCAGTGATTTTCACATTCATCAAATTTTGCCAGGTCTACATGCTAGATTTAAATTAGCAATTTTCACCATCCATTCTTAAGGTATTTTGAATTTAGGATGCAAACAAGTATTTTTTAAATATTCTTTACTGTTTAGCCAAAGACTCAATTAAAAATGCTATTAGACATATCCAGCAATAAACAAACTTTAAACCACATCATTTATGTTTCAATCAGATTGTTTATTTACATTTTGTGATTTTTTGTGTAGTTATGCTGCTTCTAGTAAATAATATATATATATATTTTGTAAAATTATGATACTTTTTCGAAAAGACTTAAATGGGAACAGCAACACTGTTTTTGTATTTTGGAGTTAGAAAGCATCAGTATCGATGAGTGCATTTCAAACCGCAATAAAAGTAAAATGTACACAGTAATATGTAAAATCTACAATCTACATCACAATATAGACCAAATTTCCAGGTATGTGCAGCATACCTTGTTCTGCAATTCAGAACAAGGCAACAAAAGTTCCGGTGACCTGTTGTGGCCTTTTTACATTGCAAAGAAACAGGGTTGTAAATATATCTTTTAATCCAATACAAATATCGCATTCAATTTCGAGATGGTTTTGCAGACAAATACTACTTGTTTACTCTGCATGCAGATTGAGTTGGAACATTTCTGCAGTGAAATATCTGCTACTTTTTTGCTTGTCCATCACGTTACATTAGTCATTATGGTGACTAGTGAGAAGGAAGGGCAGCATCATGTCACAGTTCATGGGAACTCGAATGCAAGTGTGCAACAACAGTGCTTTCACAAAGTTTACCATTTTCTGCTTAATTCGAAATGTGTTTAATTTTTCTACAACATCAATTAATTTATTTTTTTGCCAATATTTAATAACTGGTCTGAGAAATTCGGACTGCAGTTCCCTTTTAAGGTTCTTATTGGTTTTACGGTAACCTTTTTTTATAAACTGACAGTCTTGTGAATTCATACCTTAGTAAGAGCAATGAATGAGAGGACTGCAATGCCTGTGAACATGATCGTCGGGATCAGCATGACCACGGCAGAGCCAATGTTAGTGCCAAAGAACGAAATTGTAGCAATCCAACCACTGTTTGGTAGAATAAAAAAACAAAGTTACACATGGGAAGAAAATTATAAAACCTTCCAACGTTCTCACCATGGGGCTAGATCTATTAACTAACACATCACAAGAACAAATGTTAGGGTTAAGAAAATGCAGAGCATCATTTTGCTACAAAGCTTTTATTTTTCTATTTATTATTTAGTTCCTGCATCTTAATTAGTTTACTCTGCACTGTATACATTTTAAAGGCCCATTTAACATCTCATGATGAAGGGGTTGGGGCAGAAGAAATGCTTGGACATCTGTCTTTTTTATAACAGTATGTGTTGTTATTGCTGCACTACCAGTTCAGATGGACATTAAGCTGAACCTTCCCAGCTACATGAATAATAATTACTAATTCTAAATAAAAATCAAGTCAATATTTACCAGCACAACATGTTACAAAATCAAGATATTTTCATTACATTAGAACATTCAGACTGGGTGGTTGACATTTGTCACAAAATAAGATGATATATATGAATTAAACTGCTCTGGATAACCACATATTATCTCATTGTTTTGTGTTCAAAATAATATAAAATGCTTTTGTTCCAGAAATCTGTAATAATCCTCAAAATATTATAATGTGAACTGAAATTACATCTTTGCAGAATGTCAGGCACAATATAGTGTCTGTTTCTGATCACATTTTTTAATGTGCACAATGTGTGTAAACAGAAATACTAATGTACCTGCCTGAAAAGAGTGGCTATTTGTTTAAACAGGTGAGTCATCTTACCACACTCCCCAGCCTGGAATCCCCACTGCCTGGATAATGCTGATCACAACCTGAGCCATGAATGTGAAGAAAAACGCCATGAAATTAAAGGAGCTGTCTGTCCTGCCAAAGAGAAAGGGAGAAAAGTTGTAAAGTTCGTTTTTACTGATTTATGAGCATTGAAGTATTATTTTTTCACTCCAAAAAGACACATTCTATAACTATGTATATTTTGCTTTTCTGAAACAATAAACCTTACCTTAGGAACACTAAGGTAAACATTCAAAATACTATTACTCATCACAATATCAGGACACATTAACTAAGGAAACATGTTTTATAGATGGGCTATACAGACATTATAGTGAGTTGTGTCAACACACGTATTCCTAAAGTTAGAAAAAAATATATACATTGTTTCCTTCTCTATGTCCCACTTGTTTTTTTTTTAGTTTCCTTTATGTTATTTTATTCATGATATATTCAGATTTATTTTCTTCTTTCTTTGTGGTTTTAAAAATGGATCAAAGTAAAGCACAAATTGAAATGTTTAGGGTCTCCTCCACAAAAAAGAAATGTACACTGCTGTTTCCTGGAAGGGGGAAGAACTGGCTAACCCATTCCATACCGGCCTACCATAAGGACAGAGGATATTTCAGCTTGTGTTTTTCCCTGTGTTTAATGGATCCCTGTATTTGCCCATGAAAACGCCTCAGAAAAAAACTGTGCAATTGGTGTTAAAAATATTTGGTTTTAAAAGACAAACACCAAGAAAGAACTCCTAAATGAAATTAACCATACAGTATGGTCATATGGCAAAATTAAGAATGAGTGCAGAAAAGGTTAGAAAGTGACTTTTAATTTAATGGCCTAAATTAAAAGTACAGCAAATCACTGATTTAGAAGGTTTCCACATGAGGTCTGTAATACTAGAAACCTTGCTAGAAGGTCTTCAGTATAAAAATCTTATTAGATATTGTTCTCAATGATAAGACTTTTTTTATTTTGATGGCTTCCCAAATGTATTGAGTAGGACCTAGTAAGAGCTGTAAAAAAGCAAGACCAAACAATTAATGTGCCGCACCCTGATGTGAATGATCCTAAGCAGAAGTTTTAAAGTCTAAAAGACAGAAATCTTTCTATTTTTTTTACAAAACATCACTTTGGTGAGAACACACTGTGGACAATAATATGATTTGCAACCTACACAACTCCCCATGAGGTGTATGGTGATGTCATTTGCTTGTATGAGTGGTCAATACCATTTTTTATTATAGCTAAATGAGTCAAACATGGACAATCATGCTAATTGTCTGTGTCAAACTAGCAGTGCTGCTATCAGGGAGTAGTGGAGCTGTGCTCGCGGTAAGGGAGCTTGCTGCATGCAAAACACATGACCATATATTTAGTAAATGAAGCCCTCCATGCTTTACTAAGCATTAAGGCATACATGTAAATACAAAAGTCAATGTTGCACTTATATTAGTGGGTTACTACTTAACTAGATCAGGTTTTATTATTTTCTTTCCAAAAAGAGCTGGATGAAATCCCTGGATCAATCAGTAACAATCTTTCATTGAGCTTGATGGGCTGGATGGCCTTCCCTTGTTTATAACCATTCTTATGTTCATATTTTTTAAAAGTTCAGGTGGGTAGCTGCGTCAGCATGTGTACGCTGCAAAGGAACAATAGGTTTATTCCATGCTGAAAAAAAGAAGAAAGAAAACACAACGTTTCGTCCGTGGAATCTTCTTTGGGTGCTCCACGTGTTTTCCAAGGCCGAAACGTTGTGTTTTCTTTCTTCTCTTTTTCAGCATGGAATAAACCTATGACTTTATTTTAGTAAAATTGTTTAGTTATTTTGTCAAACGTTATGTATTTTACAGTGAAATAATGTGTAGATTTAACTTGCTGATATATCGCTTAACAATTGACGGTATCTGTCAACCAACTAAAACTGCACAACACCTCACAGCTTTTCTTTCAAAATAAGAATTTAAAATAAAAATAAGAGTATTCCATGCTGAAAAGAGAAGAAAGAAAACACAACGTTTTGGCGTTGGAGCATTCTTCAGGGGAGAGAAAGACAGGGCAGTAAGCAAAAGTAATGTAGCAGGAGAACAAAAGCTGGGAGAGAGGAGGAGCAGGAGGCGGGAGCAGGGGACAGACAGAGTGGCCAATCAGGAGGTGTGAAGTCAGGATAGGTGAAGAGAGGTGTGAAATGAAACCTACAATGAATAGAGAGAATTTAGAAGAAAATGAGTCTGTCATTGAGAGAAGGGGAAAGGCGTGATCTTAGATGCAGGATAATTTAAGTTTCTGTAGTCTATCTGATGTAGGAGTTAGGAAAACCATCTTTGGGAACACAGACCCCTTCTCTCAATGACAGGCTAATTTTCTTCTAAATTCTCTACATTACCTTTGCTTACTGCCAAGTCTTTCTCACACGTGAAGAGGGTTCCATAGCCGAAACATTGTGTTTCTTTTCTTCTCTTTTCGGTATGGAATAAACTTTTACTTGTTCCTTTACTAGGCTAGTACCATGATTTCAACATAAAAAATTGTAGCTTTTTTCAAAAAGGTTTTTTAAAATTATTTTTCAAGAACTAGACATCAGGAAATGAAAAAGCATTTTTTAATTAAATTAATCAATGTTAATGAATCTGTTATCCTTTCATGTGACTTGCTACAGGGGTAGTTTTGTTTGCTCATGACCTTATCATCCTCATCATTTTCATGAGCTGCAATACATCTCCTTTTTATATGATGTGATGCAAAATAATATCACACTGTTTAAGTAAAACATTGTAAGATTTGTTTCTTCTTTCTTCAACATGCCTGTCTGGATTAATAACCACTTACTTGAAAGCTTTGTATATTGGCCTGAACCAACACACATAGGAGCAGGGAGTGAAGAGGATGAGCCAAAGAAAAGCCAGTCCAAAGTTAACAGCTCCACCTCCGCCAATCAACCATGCTAGGCAACCAATCAGATTTACAGCTAGAGTGATGCTGTTCACTGCAAACACACAGAGATCACACACAGTTGCACACATAGAGCAAGCACAAAGATGCAATCTTTTCAGCAAAGAGTAGTGAGTGCACTGAGTGTCAATAGTGAAGAAAACCCGAGACTGTTTAGGTGGTGTTTGTTAAGCATTCTAGCTGCCATAACCACAGCAGAAATCTGGTATCATCTTTTTGACAAGTGAAGTTTTTTTTTTCAGTAAAAGGTTAAGGGGAAAAATGTTTGATATTGGTCAGTACTAGCATGGGAGACTTCCAACAAAAACCAAGGTGGGAACTCCACTTCAGCTGAGGATTTAAAGTGAATACTCTTATTCTTTGGGATGAATAGTACTACAAAATGCAATAATTCATTATTATTTATTGAACTGAAGAATACTTCATACTACTTATTTAGGTCAACCTCAAAGTACACTCAAAGTTTTAAGCTAAAATTCAACAATGACTTATTAATCAGGTAATAGTGATTTCTTTGTGCGCCCATGGAAGAATATAGTTCTGGACCTGTAACATTACATAAGTGTAACCAACTTGTATCTTTAGAGGACAATTTTAAAGCATATTTTAATGCTTTTTTTAAAGCATAAAAAATCTTGAATTCCACATGGTTTATGTGAGGAACAAAGCTAATTTCCTCTATTCTAAAGAGATAGAACTATAAAAAGAATGGAACATTTTGGACCTGAATGAATTTTACAGCTTATTTTCAAGTGTTGATGGATCTCGTACCTATCTACCGTATTCTCTGGACTGGTGGAATTGCCTGAATAAGTAAAGCAAAATGATGCCACACACCGAAACACAGGTCTAATGTCGGTTAGTACAGTTAGTCACAACAAATTACATCAGCTTTGACCAGAGGGAAAATGTGGCTTAAATAGTTGTATTTTATCCAGAAAAACCTGCTTTTCCTGAATGTTGTGAAGAATGAAAGGGAGAGTAAGTCCTTGATAACCTGTGATGTTACTGTGTAAACATCCTGTTTGCCAGTCAGTTCCTGGATGTTTCAACACAAACAAAAAATAATACCTTCTTTCATTTTAATTTTAGTGGATCTGCAAAAAGAATGGAATTCACTTATTAGAAGACATATGACAAGAAGTCAAACTTTTCTAATTACTTATCAACAGATGTCATGGAACAGCTTAAGCAGTTACTTAAAAAGTCAAATTGTATAATTGCAAATGTTTTTTTTTTCCAGGATCCCTCTTTGTTTTAAAAAATGTTGCAATAATTTGTGTGAAACTACAGTTGTGAATATTGACAAAAACATCATAGCAGACTTATCTGGTGTATACCACTACCATAGTTCATTGTAATTGAATTTGAATGTTAAAATGCTAGAAAATAAAAATGTGAAAAACTCTTACTCCTCAAAAAATTACTTTCATTTGCATGAGAGATGAAGAACAGCACAAGCTCTCTTTTGACTAAAAAGAGCTGCTGAACTGTAGTGGGTGCTGTCTTCCGGATGAGACGTCTCTAGTCAGAAACAAAACACTTAACTGTTTGAATGGTCTATGGTTTAGTTGCAGGTATCTTCTGCTAAATCAATTGTTAAGAAAATGTTCTGCTTGTTTAGAGCAGTTTAAAATTTTATTGTCATCACGTCATGTCATTTACCAAACCGCTTTATACCATATGGTGTGGCGGGAAGCCGGAGCCTAACCGGCGAGCAATGAGCGCAAGGCAGGGTTCACCCTGGACAGGGAGCAAGCCCATCGCAGGGCAAGTGCAAGCCAGTCATACATGGGGACAATTTGGAGGCCACGGTAAAGGCCGAGGGGGGAAATTTGGCCTGGACACCGGGATCACTCCCAACTCTTATCCTGGGGATCTTAAATGACCACTGAGAGTCAGGACCTCTGTTTAACGTCTCATCCGGAAGAGAGCGCCCACTACAGTATAGTGTCCCTGCCTCTATACCGGGGCATTAGGACCCACGCAGACCGCAGGGTGAGTGCCTCCCGCAGGTCCCATTAACACAACTTCCAGCAGCAACCATAGCTTCCCGGGAGGTCTCCCATCCAGGTACTGACCAGGCTCAACCATGCTGAGCTTCAGTGGATAGCCAGTTGAGAGCTGTAGGGTGATATGGCTGCTGGCAAATTTTATTGTTTTGGTATTAATTATTTTAGGTCAATGTAATTAAAATTATTTTTAATGGCATGAGGCAAGATGCTTATAAGAACATCTACTATGCAGATTTGGTTAAGGAAAATTAAAGAGACATTTGATAACTAATAATTAAGAACTGAAGAATATTACAAAGCTTCTGTGTATACTAGAAGATACTGCTAGATCTCTTGAAGAAAAATAATATTAATAAAAATAAACATTTTAAATGATATCTACTTCTAAAGGAACATAAATTCTCCTAAATAAATTTAAGATAACTTACAATTAAAATTAGCTTCTTTAGAATCCTTTAATACAGATATTTTAATCCATGATATATGTATATCCTAAATGTTTTCTGAATTGACTACAGGGTACAATTTGAAGAAACTATGAAACCTGCTATTTATTTATAAGCAGAAAGTAACTTCTATGAAATTTTTTGGGAATATTTTCATTTTCCAGGTACTTTTTTAATCCTTGGTTTTAAGTAATGCTTTAAGTGTGTTTCTGCAGATGGAACACTTACACATCCAGAGGTGATACAGGCGCTTGGCCATTGTGCGGTGGAGTTCTGGGATCTCATTGAAATCCTGGTAGAAACAAGGCTTCAAGGGAATAAACCCAGGTAAAGGGGGGAAATTGTTGATTTTTTCTAGACGAAATATAAAGAAAAACAGTATTCAAAAACAGTTAAGATGAAAACAATGGAAACACTACAAACACTGGAAGGTGCACCCATGGTTAACTGCTTAGTATTGAGCCCAAAATATCTGCTAGGTTATAATGGATCATCAACAATGAAAACTGGGTCTCCAATGTTCTGTTATACAGTGCATACTGTATGTTGGCACTGTTTTCCACATTACACTTTCCTGAAGATGTTTATTTCATAAACTTCTACTTAGCTTCATTAAAGAACTTTAATGAATATCCCCAATAAATAATAACAATTGCTTTCACTGATATGCTGTAGCTCTTTTCTGGACACTCCACTCAAAGAGCTTTGCAGATAATAGGAACTCCCCTCCACCAACACCAATGTGTTACACCCACCTGGATGATGTGACAGCAGCCAAAGTATACCAGTATGCTCACCACACATCGGCTATCAGCAGAGAGGGTAATAGTGTAATGAAGACAATTGGTAAGGACCAGGAAGGAAATTTGGCCATGACACTGGGGTTAACACCCCTACTCTTTTTAAAGAGCACCTTGGGATTTTCCATGACCATGGAGTGTCAGGACCTCAGTTTTATGTCTTATTTTTCTGACCTGTTCTGCTTTAGCAAATTAAAACATAAAACACCAGCCAGTAAATACGCTGTCTATGATTGTCAACATTTTCTTAAGCAAACTATACATGTGCATCAATGTAAAACAGAAGTCAAACATATGTATTTTGCAGTGTTAACCAAAGTGATCAGCTCAATACTTTCAAGAAATGCTTTCAAATCTCAATGAAAAAGAGGCATCTTACCTGCCATGCTGGAAATTGAGTTTTCTTGGTTTATTGATCAGGGTAATCTAAAATCTTCTTTCTCTGAAGTTAGATAAAAATATGAATATTCTCTTTAGTAAACAATAGTAGTCTTGACAAATTACAAAATCAGAGACCTACTGTAATCCATGTACACATTTCTCATATTTTCAAAAAGTAGAACTTATTTACTTCTGGATACACACTGCCTTACTGGAAAAAAAACATTCTGGGACAATGTTCCAGTAAAAGACTAGGAGTATAGAAGGCATCGGTCTAAGAGAACTGCTAGAACACAATTTAGAGTGCTTTGTGATGGAAAAACTATATAAATGCATTCCTTATCATAAAATATTTACAAAATCTGAAAAACTCCTACAGTACATCCTACAAATCCTCCAGCAGAGGATAACAATCACTAGCACTCTATATTATACTAGCAAAGCTCTTTAACTCCTATTACAGCTCAAATGTGCACAGTACTACAAAAATATAAAATGCTAGAAGTAATTTATGGCAGCATTCAGATCACATGAAGAACAAATACAGAATGCAAGTAACAAAATTACTTGAAAGCTGGGACATGTAATAACTCTGCTACCTTGAACTGAGTTAAAAATTCAGTTAGATATCTTTAGACACATATCTACAGTAGGAGCAGAGTATCTACACAGTAGTCATACCAATCCATGGGAACAAAGTCACCCAGGTCACCAGCAGGACACATATAGCTTGAAGAAATGAAGTTTGCTAAATATAGTGCCTTCTTAAAGGAAGGTTTGTCAGGAATTCTCTAATGCCTCTCTGTGTTAAGGGCAAACAGTTATACTAATTTTTTCTTAGAATAATATTGATGTCATCAGATATATATATTCCATATGTACACTTTTGTCAAAACACGTTCTGCTACTCAGACGATACATTGCTATTTTTTCATAATCCACTGCTCCATTTTCAGCTCTCTTCTGGAGGACAACACTTAAAAAACTGTTAGGATGTGGATTTGAAATATTTTGCAATAAACCGTTTATACAAAAACATTCTACAACATTAGATATTTACACAAACACCAAAGTAGGTCAAAGATCTTCTTAAGGCAGTTATGTTTATTTGCAACATTAAAAGCTGGCAGGTTTCTACAAGCAATCACATATATGCAAAGGGTGCTATTCAAAATATTTCAGAGAACACTTAGGGCTATGTTTAACAGTCACAGAGATTCAGGCTTCCTTGGATTTCATATCTCAGTTTAAGCAATTCTCTCATCTTTCTCCGGGTACTTACATATTTTACAAGCACACTTTGAGACTTTCACATGACCAAGGCTTGTTTATGGCTCAATCATCAGCAACTGGGCTACATCCCAGATACGTGTTTCACAAATGGGTCTCAGCAAACTCACATTTAAATACATTTGTTGGATAACGGAAACTTAAATCAATGTCTTAACTTTGAAGTTGGAGTTAATAGTGTATACTTCCATGTCCAACAATGTTAGGCTTTATTATATAGATAAATTCAGCAGCAAGGGAGCCCTCTCTGAGCTCACAATTCCATGCGCTTCCATTCCTGTCTGATACAACCATAAGCAATTATCTATATTGTTGAAGAACAACAATGCTACCGGGGTCTTCCCCATTACTGATCACAACTGTGAGAGAGCTAAGGCAGGTTATTTTCATTAAGATCTTTGTACAAACCACAGAAATAAAGTTGGCTATAGTTTACTGCAGATTTTATACCCTTGTCAAATGATAAGACTAAAGTAAATTTTGAAGGCTGCACAATAAATCTTAACATGTTGTTTTTTCACTTTTTTAGTCCAATGTATTGCGTTTTTCACTTACATACACTACAACTGAACTACTGCTTTTAAACATAATCCAAGTGACTGAAAGTTTCTGTAAATGTACAAGGACATTTGTACACAGCAGAAACTTGTTTTCAAATGCTGTGCATGTACTAATCTCACATATTGGCTGTTGTCTATCACCCAGGTGAGTGATACACTTAAGTGGTGGATGAAGTGGATCCTTTAATATACTGTATGTAAAATGGTTTTGGATCCTTTGAAATGTAATGTGCTGTATCAATTAAATTACCCTTACTGAAATTTATATGGATCTATGATACATTGAGTGTACAAACGTTCTGTGTTTTAAAATCTGGATATCTTGCTCATTGCTCAAGGTCAACTGGAGTCTACTGTCATAACTTTAACAAAAAAGATGAGGTTAACAGCACAGCTATAAAACTGTAATAGTATTATTTCTAACATATCACAATTCCAAGAAAAAATAAATGTTTTGTCAAATATTGCACCAACCCACAGAAGACATGTTTTCACTATGGTAACTGGATTTACAGTACTGTCAGGAATGGAGGTTACAGTATACAAAATACAAGATAAAAGCTTTTCATATACTGGTGACCTCTGTTCTGGCAAACACTGTTGCAAAATATGGAACTGCTATCTGCTAACGTTGTCTGTTTGTAGTTGCTGAACAGTATGTATAGTCAGCATGAATTAATTCTGCATATTTTACTTCCTTTTTCCTGAATATAGATAAAAGCTCCACGTAACACTACAGCAACACCCTTCACTACAGCATTATATTATATCTGATAACACGCCTTGAATGTAGGATGTCATTACGTTCTTACAATGTAATTTTTAATATTATATCATACGACTTTGACATTGTGCTAGATTAAGCAATGCATTGTTTTGACACGTAATGCAACTGAGATCTTAATTAAGCATATACATATTTCAAAAACAACACATAAATGATTAGAAAAAATAGACTAGAGTTCAGGGCAATATACTGAAATCAGCTGTCTTTAAGCAGGAGATAAGAATCGTCCGTACCTATATGTTTTTTTTTTAAATCCTATGTTGTCATCAAGCCATTTAGAAGAATCTACTGTAAATCGGAGTGTTGAATCACTCGTCTTGTTCGAAATGAGTCGGCCAACAGAGGTTATCTTCTTGCACTATTACACACATCAATTCCTTACTATGATGCTTGACACATTATAGTATACAGTACATCCAACGGTGGAAAAGACAGACGAAATGCCATAAAATGCATGAATGTAACTGACGTTTATTTACGCTGTAAATGAACACGTTTCTCTGTAATTCACCAGCGACTCAAGTGTGTCGGAATGACCTGAAGAACGAGGGCCTTGATTTACTTAGGCTTCCATTGGATGCGTAAAATAATCGCCTTACCTTCTTCTCTGTCCAAACAAGAGTACACAATGCAGTGTTTCTTACTGCATTCTATATTTTTTTCGGATGAAATACGGAAACTCCAACTTATACTGAATAATGTCGGATTTGAATCAATTTGGGGAAACCTTATAGATTTTTTTTATTGTATTTTTCCTGAGACCGTGGGTGTAAAAATCAAAACCGCTGTCCAGTCGTCCTATCCCGTTCCCCGTCTCCACTGTCACTGCTGCAACAGCCAACAGACAAGCGTGCTCAGTCCTCGCGAGAACTTCCCACTCCGACATCCGTGCAATCGCTCTCCACGGTACTGAAGTGATTGGCGAGATACCGTGTGATGGAAACCTAGGTCACCTTAAGTCATCGAGCTACGCATTTTATCATAATTTAGACGGAATTAACAAAAAAAAAGAAATGGAATTGAATTAAAAATAACACTATACAAGAGTCACGTTTATAGCCTCTTCCCTCTTCTTGGTGTACGATACCTTATGAGTCTAGGGGAATTGCGGGATCACTGTTTTGGTGGGAGGTGCTGTGGAAAGTGTGTTTATGATGAGGGAGATGGGAAGTGTTTTCTGTAAGAATGGATGATTACGGCTTCAGCAACATACGTTATAATAATATTTCGTTGTCCATAGACGACATTTATGTTTCATGTCAGTTTGTTATACCGTTGCATCTTTGTGTTTATTGACTGTACCATGATTTTGTTTCCTCCAGATTATCTTTTTGACTGGAACGCATCAATTCCATGACATAATATACGACACCATAACAATTAGGAAATTCTCATAAAACATACTATTCACGTTGGCTTACCCATGTTTCTCTAGCATTTTCTTACACATACAGAAGTTGAAATGTAAAACATCCAATTCAGGGTCATCAAATGGGCTACGTTATTGGGTTCAAGTAATGTTCACTGCACATTTAATATGGCTGTGACGTGTTATGGTTATGGTACACCTATGAACCTTTTAATAAGATATTTGAAATCACATGTTTCAAAATCTCTTCCAAACGGTTTTCTACCACATACATTGTATATTATTTTAAATTATGCTGTATTTATTATTAAACTAAGTAACTATATTATCTCATTACGTTTTGGGGACATTTAAATTAGTACAACGTAAGCTTCTGTTACCACTTTCACTATGAGCGTAGATTTTTTTTTTACATAAAACGTTTTCAGTAGTTTTATTCTGTAACTGAATGCATGTCTTTCTCTTTGTAGAATCAGTTCTTATCAAGGAACCTTAAGTGTCCCTTAAGTGCAGACCGAAGCTGTAAATGTTATGGATCGTAGTGTTTCAAATATGCCGATTTATGTTTGAAAACAAATCAAGAAATAATGCTTTTTTCTTTAAATCCGTAAACTGAGAGAACACTTACGGTTTATTCCTAATGAATTTGTCCTGGACTTCAGGACAGCATATTTTTAATTTCATATACTGAGGAGAATTTATATTTCCAAAAATGATCAGGTATACCGAATGCATACACATTTTTAATCAAAGTCCATGTTATCTACGCTAATCCCGAAGGTGTTAGGAGAATTACTAACACATGTACAACTTTGTTAGTGCAGAGGGGAAAAATGCAATAAAGTGCATCTACTACGTTTTCCACACAAGCGTGGAAACCTCCTCCACAACGTCACCCATTCTTTCGGTTCTCAACTTCCGTCAAGTCTCGCGTATACCAATATGTACAGGGGGGTTCTTATCTAACTATTAAGGTTTATTTCCAGATTTGACTAAATATGTGTAAATAAATTATTTAAACTTGAAATTCAAATATTAAATGGTAATATTTTGATTTCATAAAACATCTCCAAAAGTCAAAAATAAATATCGTTCAATGTCCATCATTGCTCCTCGTTATTGGTTTCTTCGCCGTCATTTTCCGGTTTACACCGGCAGTGTTGAGGAAACAGGCATGCATCGGCCAGCTGGAAGCGTACTTGGTACAGAGATAGATTCAAAAACTGACACCGTTTCTAATTTTCGTGTCCTGATTGGGGTAACTGGTAGCGTAGCAGCCATAAAATTACCCTTGCTGGTCAGAAAACTTCTAGAATTACCTAGGGTAAGTAATAGGTGTGATGCGTGTTGTAAGCGCACTTTTCTGGGGACTTGTGCGGTTGTCTTTTTCCTAGAAAATAAAGTACTTTTTGAAACCATATAGCCTCCTTCATTTTTTCGGTTTATGAATACTGTTTTTGTTGAGGTATTGAACATGCTAAATGCTATTGCTAAATTTGGAATGTAAAGTTGTCTTTAAAATATCTGTGAAACACTCTTCAGACACTATTATAGTTAAATGTAAAAGTTCACCACTCCCGAAATAAAACTAAAATAATATCAGATTTCCAAGAAAGACCCGGATATGTAGGTTACTGAATAACGATTAATTGTATTAATTTTTTAAATATCATTATAAATAAATCGTCACTTTTCCAACCTATTGCATTTGTGATCTTATTCACTTCTACACTTTTATTTTGCTCTGTCCTGATTGTCAATGCTGAACTTAGGTCTTATTGAATACTTGTTCAGATAATGGAAAGCAAGATTTTATATCAGTTAGAAAATAGTCCCAACTCCAGTTTAGTCTGGTCTCTGTAAGATTTTAAGATGTTTATCATTAAATGAGACTTAGAAAACCTGCTGGGCTTTGGCTCCAGATGACCGGAACTGGGACCTTCTATTTTAGAAGATGATACCACCATGTTTGCCTTCTTGCAAAAAAACTTAACAAACCCAACACTGAGGCAATCCCAAAAATGACTTATTAAGGTTTATTTTTAGGGAGCTGATATGTCTCTCATATGCCAAGATGTTAAAATGTTAAAAACTTATATTGGTAATATTCCTCTAAGTGGACTCAATTTTTGGGAGTGGGTTTTTAGGTTTGCAGTATTACCTGAATAACCCCTTTCTTTAAACCTTACATATCCTCATAGTGTTTTGAAATCGACCGGTCTAAATACATGCTAAACAAAAAGAAAATGTGATTGTCAGCATGAATTTAAATTATCTTATTTCATTCAGTAAAAACTGAGGTTTACAAGTTTATTTCCATAATACAGTGATGACTTGGTATCCATCATAGGTAAATATGGCTAGTTTCTAGGGAAGAATATACAGTTAACATGGAATATGAGAAGTTATATTTTTATGAAAATGTCAAATGTCTTTACAGAATCTTTACAAATGTTATGTTTTTGTTTGTTCAGGTGCACAGCCTCCTTGTGTGGTCATCTGGAGTCTGTATTTTGAATTAATTTTAGGGGATTGGGTTCTCTTCTAGCATTTAAGTTTTTCATAATTCAGCAATTTTACATTATTCAGCAATTTTACGTTACAGTAATTTTATGGCTTGAAATGGATACAAAACTAGAGAGATTGAAGCCTTATGTAAAATATGGATAAACTATGTTCAGACAAGCATTTTTCATTGATTTTAATCTAGTAATAAAACACATTTGTCAACCTGCTTTGGTTGTATTTGTGTTTGAAATCCACACCTGTGAGTTGCAAATTAGTCTGACTATGGTCTGTTGTAGGGTAAACTAAAATGTATTTCCATATATGAAAAGTGAAACATGAAAGTTGTATAGTGTGAAAATTTGTCCTCTTTAAATTAGAGAACCAATACAAAAATAGCCTTTATGTAAGATAACTCTTGGAGATAAACACCTGTAACTACCCCAGGCTTACCCCAGGCTTCTCTCCCCGTCTGTGTGTCTGTGTCTCATGGAGACCAAGCTGGGGTATGCGAAAAGAGGAATTCATAATGCAAGAAATTGTATAGGACAAGTAAAGTGATGTTTAAAATGGTGAAGGTATCCCTGTGACATTAGTTGAATCAGAGAAAAGTATGTTAGAGCTAATAGTATTGCCATAAAGGAAAAAAAACTCTTCTTAGTGGAGTGTATTCATTTCTGCTTTTGGAGGGTTGTAAAAGTCAATGGAAACTCAATCTAGACACTTATGTAATGGTAGGATATATGGTATTGTAGAGATTCCAAAAGTCTTGGATCAGTTCTGAGGTCTTTGTAATAGGCATACTTCAAAACTTAAATTTCAAAAGACTTCACAGCCAATATCTTGTTTAATTTCTTTTCCTTTCAGCATGGAATAAACCTTTACCCATTCCTTTGCAGCCTAGGCATGCTGACGTTGCTACCTACTCAAACTTCAAAACTATGCTGGAGAGCCAAGCAGAGAGGAAATATGTCTCCTCGAACTTTAACATTAAAGCATATATATTGCTGAGTCCCTTTTACACATCAGTTGCACCAGTGGCTAACCTTTTATGTTACCCAGTAAAGAATGGTATTTTGTGTCAGGAAGAAATGATACATTAGGATGCCAGAATGCCCAGCTGCTTAAAATGTCAAATAGTTCTTAGAGTTATACCCTGGTCAGCTTAAATAGTGATGTTTACTGCAACTCTTACATAATTGTTCACAAAATATGGACAAGCTGCTTCAAATACAAATATTGGCTTATCTTAAAAAGTCTGATTCAATATTCATTATTTTATATTCCATAACTTTGGATACTGTAGAAAAGTGCAATGTTGACATGGTGTTTGATCTCTATTTTGTCTAGGAACATTTTTATTAAAGGCTATTTACAGCTAAATGTAGGGATAAAGGTGTGACACTTTGTTTCACGAATTCTCAAACTTCTCAAAATAAATGTAAAAAATCAATTTTTATAGAACCTGTGATAGAAATCATTCATGTTTTTGCTGGGGTTTTTGCTTTATTATGTTATTAAAACTAAATGTATTTTAGGAATATGTGCACTTTATTATGCATGAAGGATTTCAGTAATCCAGTATATGGCTTCCTTGGCAAGTAGCATTTGCAAGACCGATGTTAAGACACTTAAGAAAGCTGAAATAATTAGCCAATGTTATCTGATGTGATAAAGGCTCTCTCAACACACTGTTGTCTTTTAGGTGGAGGTGCGAGTAGTCACCACAGATCATGCCAAGCATTTCTACAAGACTGAAGATCTTGAGGTCCAGATTTACAGTGATAAGGATGAGTGGGAGGTACAGGTTCTATATAAATATATTTTGGGTGCGAAATTAATGGGGAGAAAATATATCTAGATGTATTGATTAATTTATAATTCAAGATGACAATATTGGGCAACACTGTGGCACAGTGGTTAATGTTGCTTATCCCCAGCACTGTGGCTCTGAGTTCAATTCCAGACCTGGGATGCTATCTGTATGGAGTTTGTTTTCCCCATGTTTGTGTGGGTTTCCTCCAGGTTTCCTCCCAGTTGGTCCAGGTTCCTCCCACAGTTTCAAAACATACAATGGCATCTGGGAAAATATGGCCCTGGTGTGAATGTATTGGTGTCTGTGTCTGGGTGTGCCCTGCGATGGACTGGTAGCCTTGCACCCATTGCTTGCCAGGATAGGCTCTCCTGTGACCCTGTATTGGATATTTGTTCATATTTTTAATTCGAAAGCACCTCCAAATCTAGACTGACACAGCCATTCTTTGAAGATCACTCCAAATGTTGAAAGATCTATAGTAAAATATTTGGTCACCAGCGATGGCTATGTTTATGTAAATGTTCTTTTGTTTGAGTGCTTTTGCTCTAAACTGTGAATTGAACAATCTGTTGTCCTATGGCATGGCATGATAAGCATCTTTACTTTACCACATCTTCTTTCAGCCACCACCCACAAATATACAAGCCTAATATGCCACATTGTAATTATATATGTCTAAAAATCCAGAAAATATATCTAAAGAGACAAATTTTTGAAAGTGTCTATATTATAATACTCCAATAAGTCTATAGTATTCCCAAAACAGTACTGCATCTGTAGGTAATAATGGAGTTATATCATTATTGCCCTATACTATCTGAAAGTGGAAAGCAGTTTAGAAGGAAGATTTATGGCATCGCTCCCTGCCAGTGCTTTGAGTGCACTGTAGCACTGTGGTATTCACAAGTGCTTCTTTTTTGATCTTCTCTACAAACACTGCTGAACACTTGGTTACTCTAACCTCTGTCGTTTGTATACAGAAAGCTGACTTCAGAAATATTCATTAAAATAACATACAGAAATGTGAGTGTATCTTACCCAATACAGATTAACCCAGTGCATTATTTTATTTTCAAACTGGGGTTTGTATTGCCTTTTGCGGTTTCCATGTACATAATTTTGAAATGCTTTTAAAGGAACAGGAAGTGTACTGAATAGTGACATTAATGAAATTCCATTTCTGTTCTATGATATTTGCCAATAAAAATGTGTCTTTCCTATTGTTTTCTTTCTGTTACTGTTTACTGTTATCTAACTTGCTGATTATATTGAAGACTAATAAGAAAATAATGTCAAACAACATGACATAGCTGTAATTTCTTTTCTGATGTGCTTGTTTGATGTTTTTTTTCTAGATGTGGACACACCGCTCTGATCCCGTTCTGCACATTGAGTTGAGACGCTGGGCTGATCTCCTGGTGATAGCTCCCCTGGATGCCAATACTCTTGGAAAAATTGCCAGTGGTATCTGTGACAATCTTTTGGTAAGCATGAAAAAATCCTAATGCATCTAAGTATGTTTTGCATTTACCTTTTCCAGAAGTTCTTTCTTGCATTACATTACAGTGATTTGTTATTTCATCTTCTGTGCTACTACGGCAAAAGTCATAAGAGCTATAAAGAAATAAGGTCACTGCTTAGGTCACTAAGGTCTCAGGTCAGATAGTGAAAGGAATTCCTAGGAATTCCAGGATGTGCTTATCTCTGAGATAAGTGCTTATCTCTTTGGTTCCATTCTAGTGGGAGGTGGGTGCAACAGCATGATAGATGTTGTTGTAACAGATAAATAAATTCTGGATCTGAGATGAAGTTTAATCAACTGAGATTATTGCATGCAATGAACAATAAGATCAAAGTATTGTTTAGAATATAGGTTTGATCTTTCCTTAGTTAGGGGGTCTCTGTCTTGCACTTTGAGTCTCTTATCAGTTAACTCCAATCCCTGCCATAACTCAAAGGTGCTTAAGCGTGGAATGTCTTGTGTCAGAAGAAGTCTTTGTGCAGAAAGAAATCACTTAACCCCCTTTTCACATCTTATATCTTTCTTCAATGTGATAAGAGGTTTTACAATGTGCTTGGATATCTATGGCTAATATCTGAATGACCTTTTAAAACCAACACTTTAAACCCAGGACCTTGTTAGTCCAGCCCTTAATCACCTCAGGTTTAGGTCAGCATTTCCTCCACCTCTTATTGACACTTGGGATTCAATGCAGACCAGCTGACATCCTACTTGTAAGTGAAAAGTTACCATAATGTTTTGCAAGGTGATTTTCAGACATGTAAATATGTGAGATACACAAAGTGTTAATTCTGGTCTTCTGCATACCAGCTGCTAGCAAAGTACCTTGCCTTGTAGTAAAGATCTTCAGTTTCTCTTTACAAAACCTCTTCACTAAAATTCTTTTTTTCAAATTCATCATCTTGAAACTGTTAACACTGGGGGTGTAGTTATATTCATAAACAATTATTAATTATTAATAACATGTTACATCACCATTGTGTCACAAATCTTTACACAGTATACTCTGCCATCTTTCATTCTTTTTCTTTAATAAGAGCTTTTTGTTTACAGACATGTGTGGTCAGAGCCTGGGATCTGAAGAGACCACTTCTCTTTTGCCCAGCAATGAACACAGCAATGTGGGAACACCCTATCACAGCCCAGCAGATCAGTCGTCTGAAAGAGTTTGGGTACACTGAGATACCTTGTATTGCCAAAATACTTGTCTGTGGAGATGAAGGTGAGTTATGATTGCTTGATGGTCAGCATATCCAAAAGAAGCCAGGCCTTCCTGACCTTCATCCTTAATCTGTGTGGTGAAGCAGTTTCCCACTTCTCTACCTAATCTGCTGTGTAGATTTACACACATTACCCAAGTGGATGTTATACTTCCCTGTTGGTTAAAGTGAAACTTTTACTATATGTAAGCACTATTGGATTCTTTGGGATGAAATGTACTATATTAATGCAATTAATCATTAACAAGTAATCTTGATTTTACGTTACATCTTTTATAATATTTCTTTCTTATTTGGTAAAGAACAAGGATTGACTGACAAATGAAATAACAAAAAAAACACGTATAACATGAATACTGAATTTTATTCGACAGATGTTTATTCAACCATAAATGTATTATTTATTTATCCATTGGTAACTAAGACATCTTCCAAAAATTTAGATCATTATCATAGTATTTTGGGGGTTTGTTAAATTGGTATCTCTACAGTGGTACCATCCTCGTGGTTATGTCTAAAGAAATTTACTGTTCATCTCACTCCTGTAATTATGATGAGTTGAGATCTTCATTTTTGAAATTGTCTTCTATTTTTCCCTCTGCCTTTTATATGCTTAACGTTTGTCAGATTGGAGTTTCATTCATCTAGATCTTTACAGATTTTCCGTATTTCAAATTTTAAAGGGGGGTAGGGTAGGATTCACCTTGGGAGTTTAAGTTATTGAACATCACAATATATGTGGAAGGTTTTTAATCCAAAAGAAAATATAAATTCTGATGGTCATCATGGTTTTATCTGTAATTTTCTTTACAAAAGTAATGATAGGACTCAGAAACTGGAAGCTCTAGATTTAAGCAGCAAATCTCAAATAAAGAAACGTGAGTAGAAAGAAAAACACATTTAGGCTGTTGAGCCTTCTGTAGGATTAATGGAGAAAGAGGAAATAAGTGGGGATGTACACCAATGGAGAACAAAGTCCAGAGCACGTGAGAAGGCACAGCAGGTGAGAGAGTATCCAAATGAAAGGAAATCTGTGGGATAAGTGTGAAAAGGCGAGATCAATAAATGAAAATGGCTTCATGAAATAGGTCTCTTATTATGTAAATAGTAACTCTTAACAGTACAGGATAAAGTTTTACTCAATTTCTTGTGTTGCTGCTCTTTACACATTTAGAGGTGGTTCTTCCTTACGTGGTTTTTAGAACAAATACTTGCCTAAGTTACAAGGTGTCTGGGACATTCCTTTCTCATCCAGTGGCTGATTTAATTCATTTCTAATCTTACTCAAAAGTACAGGTCTGATCCCTATGTACTTCTTTGCATATATATAAAATTAGTCCTCTACCAGTCACTTAGATATGGACCAGAACAGTAGATCCTGCCCAATAGTCCTAAGTGGGCTGCAGTTTAGGCAAGTAGTTTTTATTTCCATTTCCAACATCTCTGTCATGGATGTACTTTGAGTATGTAAATCTAATTACATATGTTTTGGAGATGCTCTGTGGTAGAACAATTCCTGCGTATGTAACTGGTGTACTATCGGATCTAACTGGTGCAATCCAATAAGTACCGGATTGCTCCTATTGAATTACACTCCCACACTGATGTCAGCTTTCATGTACAACTTCTATTTCTGGTAGGTTTTAACAAACAAAAATAATCTTATTTTGTGGGGCTAGGTGTAGACTGGGATTATTTTAAATGCTTATTAAGTTGTATTAATGTGTAGATACTGTATTTATTGAGAGCAGCACAGCTAAAATATCCCAAAGAAGGCTCCACAGCTGAAATGCTGTGTTTAATTTATTTTCCTTTCAGCGTGGAGTAAACCTTAATTTGTTCCTTTGCAGCCTTCCTATGCTGACACAGCTACCTACTTGAACTGTTAGAGCTAAAATTTTTTAATTCACCAGTTATTCAACTGCCTCCCTTTCCATATTTTGTTCATATTAGTTTTGATGTAAGCACATTTTTCTTTATGATTTGTGTTTATATTGTTGTAGTTTAACACTATCTTAATATGTTTTTGACAAAAATGTATATTTATCAGGATTTTTTTTGACTGAGAAAGGCTGTATGCTATTCTTAGGGATTATTGAGTACCATGTGAGGCACAGCTTTTCTTCTTTCCTGTTAGCCTTATGAAAAATATTTGATCATGCTTTAGTTTACACCACAGGTTCGTTTTTAAAAACAATTAACAATAATTAATAACATATACTGGTAAAAAATGCTCAGTTTTTCCATGTAAAACTCCAGAATATCCAGAATTTCGCACTGAAACTTTTATTTTAAAAGTTTGGAAGTCACAACTGAAATACAAAGGGCACAGACAGTATTGTTCATTCTTTTTCATTCTAATCCTAATAATACTCATATTCTTGCATCAGTTTCATTTTGCAGTCATTTCAATCTTGAAAGTAAAATAAATTTGTTTCATAAACGCAATCATGCTATCACACCTCTGTGTGTTATCCTTGAAATATTCATGCACATGACAGAAAATGTTTTATACATTTCATTGAACACGTGTAAAGGAATTGGGCTGTCAGGTAGTGTAAATAAATTAATTGGTTAATGTCTCTTATTAACACAATAATTCACCACAATGAGGCTGTTTGTTTCTGCTTGCAGGTAAAGGTGCCATGGCAGAAGTTTCAACAATAATACAAGTTATCAATGAATACATCCAGAAGGCTTCAGTGTCTTCATAGACAAAATGAAGAGCATTGTGCTTCTTGCTTTGTAAATAGAATACTTTCCTTTGGGTAAGCCCAAAATAATGAATGGGTTAATTATTACAGGGAGCTGTGCTACCTTTCTCATCTGTAAATTCAGTGCTAAGAATCTTAATCTTATTTGTTTGTTAAATATATTGGAAATGAAAAGAATACCCTGGAACTGCTTTGATTTTGTGATTCACACAAAAAGTCACACAAAAATCTGCATTTTTAGCATTTTTTAATTAGTGAGACATTTTTGTAGTTCATCCTGAATGATTGACTCCCCTTTTCTTGATTCTTATTTTATTGTCATAAGACTTAAAAACCTCACAGTGTTTTCCAATTAGTAATGAAAGCTTTCTCTGCTCGGGGATCATGCCCAAACTTTATACTGCTGGGGGCCGGCTACATTACAGACCTGACAGTGCATAAAATAACATCTGCTGGTTATAAAAGAGAGACGTTCAGTGTTTTTGGAAAATATGAAGAGGCTTATAGTTGTTGGGATATCATGACTGGTTTTGAAACTTGGGAGGTGTTCTTCTATGGTCTATTTATGGAATTGAAGTTTGTTTTTCATGGAAATCTATATCTTTTAATAATTTAATGATTTATACAGTATCAAATTAAATTACTCTATTTCACAACTAATTATTGTTACTACATTGTAATTAGTGTAATTTTGTATCCGTTCTTCACTTCCTATCATGTTAAGAATTAAAAACATAATTTGAATTCAACAGTTAAAGTAAGCATCTGCACATAATGTATGTATATTAACTTTGTTTCAGCTTTTTTTCAAGTATAACATTAATAAATAGAACTTGTTATTGATCTAAATGACTTCTGTGAAGGAAGGTGGGGATCCCCTGAAGTCCTGCAGCCTGTCAGATTGTTGTGGGAACACATTTATATATAACAAAAACTTCAGTATTAATTTTAATATTAAATATGTTGTCACTAGCTTAATTTATCTGTATTCTCTGTACAGGAAAAAAGCCCAAATAAAAACATAAAAATAATAAAGTAGTTCAAGTAGGTAGCTGCATCTGCATGCATAGGCTGCAAAGTAACAAAGTAATGGGTTTATTCCATGCTGAAAAGAAAAGAAAGGAAACACAACGTTTTGGCTGTGAAGCCTAGGCTTCAGCCTTTTTTGTTCAGGAAGACCTATTTTCAGTTAGACTTGCTACATCAATAAGGACTTGGGCCAAGATTAACTGCCATTTCTAAGCAACAACTAGCATTTTTGGAGACGGTAAATTGCAATTTTTTTAATAGGTAAAAGGGGATTTTTTATTGACTAAGACAGTAAATGGTTGCAGTTAGTAGGTAGGGAGATCGGGGGAGGCATACTGAAACATGAAGATCAAGAAACATGCAAATTTTGACATATTCTACTAAAAGTCTCCAAATTTTAAAAAAATTGCATCTGAAATTTAAAAGCTGCAATAACAATGCACTGACATTATTAAGTTAAAAAAAGACACTTTGTGTTTTGTGTACAAAACCTTTGTATCTGGTTTTTGTATAACTTTTAGTAAAAGAAACTATTCTACATAGGTCTGAGGAAGTTACTGGAAGCATTAAAAGTGCATGCTTTCCATATGGTTTCTCCATCTTCCACCCCTGCTGAGGAGGGAAGGGAAGGGTTGTCTGTCTGGTAAGGCTAGATTATCATCTGAAGAGCATATCAAGCAATACCACAGTTTCCTGTAGTGGTATAGCCCTATCTGAAGCCAGGTGCAGCACTGACAGCCAGAACCAGAAAGTGAGGAACAGTTGGTTCATCTAAACTCTTTCAATAAAACAAACATTTCCTCAGTATTTAGGATGGCTAGAATACACACAATTATGCTTTGAAACTTTAACCAAACGTTGCACTGTGAAGTAAGTTAATATGATTTTTTAATGTGATTGAATGGAAAAGGGTTTATAATTATACCTTTGGAAGTGGTCATGAGTGTTTCAGAAGGTTCCTCAAAAGAGTATTTAATATTTCTACATTTTTATCTTTTTTAAACTAATCACATGATTTTTGTCACTAGGATTCAGATAATTAAAAAAACAAGCTAAGCTATTTTGTGACACACTATGTACATTTAAAAATATAGAACTTTATGTTCAGGTGTTATGCTCAGACTCATGCCAGCAGCCATATCACCCTGCAGCTCACAACCGACAATCCACTGAAGATAAGCAGGTGTGAGCCTGTTCAGTACCTGGGAGACCTCCTGGGAAAAACTAAGGTTGCTGCTGGAAGTAGTGTTGATTGGGGCCATTGCCGGTGTGTGGGGAGTGTACTGCTGTACTATGACTGCCGTCGCATCATCCAGGTGGGGCTACACATTGGTAGTGATGGAAGGGAGTCCCCATTACCTCTTTGAGTGGAGTGTCTAGGAAAGCACTATGAGTATAAGCAATAATAATAATAATAATAATAATAATAATAATAATTATTATTATTATTATTATTAATCATCATATTTTATTAACAGTCCCTGATTTTAGTCTTTGAAAAAATGACAGTATTTTTCTTATACAGAGACTTTGGTTTAGAGAACCTGAAAATGCGTGAAAAAAAAATGCACCATGCAAGTTTATTGATCTTGATCATTTTTACCATTTTTAAAGGAGACCCCCCCCCTCCCCGTATAATTTTTTGTCATCCATATAAATTATTTTAATGATTAATCAAAATATTATCAGCTTTAAGAATTACCTGTGTTTCTTCCTTTTTTTTTTGCATTTTTCTCAGTTAATTTTGCTAATTGTTTTTTTTCATTTTGTAATGTCTTATTTTGATAAGGTTAATTCTACCTACTATATTTCCAACATACCAACTACCCGCAAGTGACAAATGATTCTCCAGTTGGCTCAACTGCCTGGACTTGAAGAGAGACACATGGGGATCTGTTTGAACACTATTAGTAATGTAAACTATCTGGATACATTTTACTCAATATAAGATGTATTTAAGCTGCCCAGTTTTAAACAAAGTGATTCAGATATTGCATCAGGTCAAAAAGTGTATAGGATATTTCTTTGTGCGTTCTCCTTTCAGGAAAATCTGCTTCCTGTGCTGCAGTAGTTATCTTCACATCCCCATGGGCCACATAGCTGAAGAGGTGGCAGACTGACACCATGGGCCCCTGGGCACTTTTGATTAACATCTACTGTGGCACCCTGTTCAGCAGCTTGTAATAACTATAGGTTATTACAAGCTGCTGAATCTTCTTTCTGCAAAACATCTGCTTCTATTCTGTCACTAATTTCCATATACCTTAACAGTACACTGTTATGTATTATAATATATGTTCTTTTCTATTTATATTAGCAATCAAGCCTACTTTGTTTCTTAGTGTGACTACTCCTTAAATTTGAATTGCTTTTTTTAGTGGAGTTTATAATATAATTTAATTATGAGTTATGCCAGAGATTTCTATTTTTTCCCCAAATAAATGCTCTTAAATATTAGAAGTATTTATATTTATATGTACAGCGTTTTACAACAAATTCTACGTTTTTCTTAAAAAGAATGATGCAAAAGTAAGGCCTAATATACTACATCATCTTTTTTGTTTACATATGTCATTTGGACAAATGGGGATAAATTTGCATCTTACAATTCTATTCAGAAAACAAATGGGTCAAAGTTTGCTTCTTGATCAAATCTGACTGTGTATCACTAATGCTTTCCTTACATCTTTAATAAAGACTTCTTATTTTTAAAAATACTGATTCACACATTTGTTTAATTACATTTATAGTTTCTACCATGATTCCGGATTAGGTATGTTTTGAAAAAAGTTCCTGGAAGTATTCTAGCCTTGCCTCTCCATGCTCCCAGTAAATGACTCACTTCAGAATCTCGCCCAAGTTTGTGGCAATGAGAAAACTTGTCTTGGTACAAGATTAACAGTGAAACAGAGTAGCGTCACTGCCCAGTTGCTGCTCATGTCAGCGTTGCAGCAAGGACTTTGCCTTTTTGAGTGCGATAAACAGTGTGCCGTGTTGTCTTTGTGGTGAGTCATATTATGGAGACAAAGTTGCTTTTCTGGTAAGGTGGCTGGTAACTTCTCCAAGAGAAAGAGAGCTAGGACCATCTGCTTATTTGAAAGGATTTGTCCAAATTTTAAGGAAGTTTGTGGGAAATTAGAAAAACATTTATGGAGACATTTTTAATCACAAATGTTATAAATGTACATTTAAAGTAGACTTGATTGTAAATCATCATGTGAGCCAAAATGTACACAGTTGTAGTTTACTTAACCGGATACAATAAAACATATGTTTTGGGTCACATCTCTTTGTTTTCCATACTGCAAACTGATTAATGTTTAATGCTAATGCTTGCTTTTTTGCATGCTAGAGTCCCAGGTGTTTGGAAGGGATCAGTTGTTGAAGCCACAGCATGTCTTTTTTGGACATGCTGCTGCACTGTTTGTGGTTAATGAGCTGATGTAACTCCATGGCTGAATGAAATCATGTCAGTACGTGGCACAGTGGGACTATGGTTTCTTATTTTTATCAGGTACTCAGAGTGCTTAGGCAGATGCATCAGGACTATTGTTTTTCTTTCGTTCACAAAATACCAACATTTTAAAACCTTATTTTTGAAAGTAAATAGTAGGAGAAAATTGTTAATGACTTTATTCATAAACCTAATTATTATTTAGCCAGGTAAGTTCATTGAGAACAAATTCTTCACTTCAGTAGAAACACGATCTAGATTAGAACTAATCTTAATTAATTAAATAAAAACAAATTTTGACACTTTGACTGTAGTGTTTTTCATTTTATATTTAAAGTTTTCTTCTACCTGTATTTAACATATAACATAGTAATGCTCAAGATGTTGAGGAGTGTTGTTTTGGTTTAGTAATCAAATATTAGTTGTCCTGACACCAGGTAGTGTGCAAACAAATTATGAAAGTAAAATAATAAAATACCTCACTTGTCAGAATACCAAGCCAGATCGTATGACCTTTTAAATTTTTTGTGAATAATTTTAGGTTACAAAACATGCAGAAGGTATCTTAAAACATGATTTATTCAACTGCAAAACAGAGACATTAATATTTACAGGCTATGTACACATCAAATTTATTCCAAAATGTTCAGTCTTCCATACTCAGTTGCTTACATTGACAATAATCGGGTAAGTACACAATCTGCAGTGATGCTTTAAGGAAACAACGTGATCCCTGTTCAGAAAGTTTCCAGATACAATGGATTAAAAGCCTTTGTTTGGCAGATTTAAAGGGAAATGTTCTCCACAAATATAAATTACAGCACATTTTGGCAAATGTAAGCTGAGCACCTTCTATACTCAATATCTGATACAGTAGGTGTTGATTCCTCAATGATGAATCTAAGTATGAAAACTGTGCAGCACAGTTCTACTCTATCTCCCCTGTCTACCCGCCTCTCTTTTATTTCTATATTTCTAATCTCTTTTACAGTTTTGTCTTTTATTAGGTACACCATAGGGCTGTATGGTCAGTTCTGAGAACTTCTAAAACAAAGATTTTATGAGTCATCCGGTCTTCTCTCAGTTGTACCTATTATATTCAGATATTCCTGAATTTTACAGTCTACTTTATCTACTCTTATACCTCAGATATGCAAACACCTCAGTTATTCTCCCACTTCATCTATTATAAGCTATTCATTAAAATTTCATGGTGCAAAACTGCTGAAGGGACCATAAAATAAGTAATACAGACATAACAGAAATCCCAAACACATAACAATGTGCATATAAACCATAACAGTAATTATAATCTATCATGTTTCACACAGTGATATTTGGAAACTGTACTCTTTGAAATAGTTTACCAATTGATTCTTTATAAAGGTTATTAATAAATTATAAACTGTAGTCCAGAGTCTAAAAACAAACATGTATAAGTCTTAAAACAGTTCTGTGTGGTTTGGTAGAAGCCTTACAATACTTCCAGATCAGTCTATTGCATTTCTAGCTTTTACTTTATTACAGAACTTTATTTTTTTGCATTGCAAATCTCTCATCTCACAGACAGGTTTCTTTG